ATTAAGCTACCTGATTCTCATTACTCCTTTGGCAGATGAGCAAATGCTAATTTCATAGATGCACTGATATGTTACTTTCCCCATATTATAATTTACATTCCTGGGGCTTTTTGTACTATTTCCATTATAGTGGCATGATTTAGAGTAGAAATTGTTAAAATGTCATAAACAATATTTGTACTTGAAATTGTTAAAGTACCACATTCAATATTTTAAGAGGGCTCAATAAGTTTAAACCAAATTGATAATTATGGATTAAGTTCATAATATCTTTGTTGTGACTACATAAACAGTTCAATACAAACATTTTTTAAAAGAATTACAACTACTCATAATAATATCATCAGGGAGCTATGAATTTGCTATTCATCTTTTTTAGTATTAGGTTCAATAGCTGGGCCAATATACCATGGAAAGACACTATATACATCAAGAGAATAACATATATGTAGGCTTTTTATGTTTGATGTTCCAATTTATTTAAATACAAAAACCACCACCTTTTGCCTTCATTTTCTACAAAGGAATTTTTTTTTTTTAAGTAGAAGCGCCTCTTTCTATGCCGACAGCTTCCAAGTCACTATGGAATGGTAAGAACTACATCATTTAATGAATATTCATATCAAAGAGATATTTATAACATTTTTCATGTCACTGCTCCTTTACCCTTCCCCAACATACACTTTGAGAATTACAATGACTTCTTGAAATCCTGAAGGAACTACCTTCATTTCTTATACAAGGCTTTAAAATACATTTTTAAACAGACCTTCACATTAAAGAGGAAAAGAATTTGAAATAAGTATTTGTGGGAGGTAATCACATCAGCAAACTCAAGATAAAATAATACAGGAAAGAAAGTTGAGAATTAAAAGTGGTCTAAAAATTTGCTTAAGTAAGGCAAAGTAAGTGATAAATAACATCATATTAACACAAAAACATAAGCTCCGTGGAGGTAGAGATTTTTGCCTTTTTGTTTGTTGATATGTTCTCTGTTTCTCAAATATTTAATGCAGAGTAGAAGCCCAAAATATTTATTGAACAAATAAATAAATACATAAATGTGCATGACGCAAAAAATTAATCATGGTTCTCCCAGTCGTACAAAACACACCTATGATCCCATGTGCACTCAGGACCAACAATCAGGAATGTGGGAAAGGTGCAGATTCCAGCACAATGCACTAGATTCTCAATGTAAAAGTGAAAAATACAAAATCTTGATGTTCAAATACCCACCATCTGGCATGGAAAAGCCAGATATGTAAGTGGCTGTGGTACAGTGGGATAAGTGAAAAAAAGAATTATATGTAAGTATTATCAGTCACAGACTGGTTGAAAAAGCTACAGATAAATGATAACGTTTGAGGATTATCTAAAAAGATGAGTGAGAAGATAAACCCAGAGCAAAGGTACAGACATGTAAAAATTCACAGTGCTTTTGGAGGACAGCAAGCTGTGGATTTCAAACTTTCAAACTATAACCTAGAGCAAGAAATACATATATAGTATACTTAACTGAAACCAGTGAGTATCGGAATAATACTCACCTTTACTCATCTTATGTATTTGATATTTTCTATTCTATTTCCTTTTTTTAATGTTGGTGAAGGTGTATTAAATCAATGTCAAGATTCATTTGTTTGAAAAACATTGGGTTTGAGCATCAAATGGATGTGGTGATAGACCACTGAAATGGAAATACAAAGAATGCTCTTCCAGCTGACCTCCAACTCTTCTCCCATCCAGGTGGTTTGCTGGAGCCACATTACTTACAGGAGGACTATGATCTAGGTCCCTTTCCTACTTAAAACAACTCAATGTGATAGAAAAGATGAGTAAAGAAGTCCTTCTCTATATCAAGCCAATGTGCAAGAAGGGAAAGTGTTACAGGCCATTTCTTCTCTACTCTAGGCATATTTTGGACTTACCATTATTCTGTCTAGAAGGGTTAAGAGTGTTTGAAAATAAAACAACTCTCACATCTGGGCACATCCTAAATTCAATCTATATCTGGATTTATCTCAGAATTTACTAGAGTCAAATTGTTATACTGAACTACAAAAAACAAAACTCTTCTCCCTTCCCTATGAATAGCTATTTAACTCTGTCCACAACAGTCTTCACTGAAGACTATTTACTGAGCACTCTATGTGCCCCAGGATCTGTTCTAGCGCTAGGAACTACAATAGTGAGAAAACAAAAGTCCAAGCCCCTTAGAGTTTATATTTTACAAAAACAAACAAAAACAAATATGCAAGTAAACTAAATACATACAAAGTGTAAAAGCTATGAAAGAAATAAACAGTAATAGGAAATAATATGTAAGGTAGCCAAGGAGGGCCTTTCTCAGAAGGTAATATTTACGTTGAGACTTGATGGATGAGAGGAAGCCACTGAAGTCAAGTACTAAGGAGAAAAACAATGTCCCGGGTCCTAGAAGAGCATAAGTGAAGACCTGAGCCAGGAAAGAGGTTGTTGTTAAAGGCCAATATAGGTTGAGCCCAATGATTTGGGAAGGGCAGCATGAGATGAGACGGGAAGTTATTTGAAAATACTGGATTGTTTCAGTAACTAGAATGGGAAGTTACTGGAGAACGACATGGTCTAATTTGGGTTTTTTAAAGCTCATTCTTATAGCTATGTGGACAACAGATTAGATAGGGGTATGATTTGAAGTTGAGCCATCTCTTTAGGAGACTGATTTTAGGCAAGCAAAGATGGAAGATTAGAGTAGGGTGTTGGCAGTGGAGAAGGAGAAAAGAAGATGGACTCAAGATATATTTTGGAGGTAGAACCAACAAAACTTATATTTAGAATGGTCTTAAAAGAGACCATAAGTAAGTGAATTGAAAATTGGTTGGAGGAGTGAGTGCATTTAAAAAGGGAAGGAAAAGATTTTGAGGAAGGAAAGAATGGGAGAAGTATGAATTAAGTAACAGCCTAGAAGTAATGTATTAAAGTGGTCACATTTACAACTCTAATCCCATGGCTTGCTCTGTGCCTCTATTTTCTTTTTTTTTTAAGATTTTTTTAAATTTATTTATTTGAGAGAGAGAGAATGAGAGAGAGCAAGCACATGAGAGGGGGGAGGGTCAGAGGGAGAAGCAGACTCCCCGCCGAGCAGGGAGCCCGATGCGGGACTCGATCCAGGGACTCCAGGATCATGACCTGAGCCGAAGGCAGTCGCTTAACCAACTGAGCCACCCAGGCGCCCTGTGCCTCTATTTTCTTAAAACAAGATATCAAATTGGGCAGAAAGAGAGAGAAACTTCTTTAAGGACTTTTAGCCTTAAATGGTTGAGCCCGGGCCACTGAAAAAAAGATAATTTACCCAATGAAAATAATGAAGCAAGATTTAACTAAGATCATTTTAGTGAGAAACAGTAGTTCCAGCTGCACATTCAAATTCCCCGGGGGAGCTTTTAAAACTATATGCCCAGGCTCCATGAAGTGGTTCTGATTTAATTAGTTTGAGGTGAGACATAAGCATGGGTATTTTTTAAAAGCTGCTCTACTGAGGAGCAAGAATTGAGAGCCCTAAGTTAGAAGTACAGCAGAGGATGCCAGGTCAATAAACCTATTCCATTAAATGAAGGATTAATAGAGAGAATGGGGTGAAGGAACTTTTTCCCCCAGAGAAGAAATACAGGCCCATTGGCTAAACAGGCATAGTTCAAGACTACAAGAAAATAAAAGTCAATTTTCTTCAATGTCATTTTTTGGGGGCTGGGAGAAAATTTTATTCTCACAGTGTTAGGAACACAGACACTCATATAGACATCACACATATTTCAAAGTATATTTTATTTCTATAATGAACAACACAGAGGGAAGAAATTAACACCTGACAGTTGACTGAAAGAAAAACAGAAGAGGAAGAGTTCCTTCCAATCTGGCCCAGGCAAACAATCACACAGGAAAAAAAGAGTTGCTGTGGAAAAGTAATCACAAGGGAGGAAGGATTCAGTTACTTCTCAAGTTAAAAATCATAATTGGGGGGCGCCTGGGTGGCTCAGTCGTTAAGCGTCTGCCTTCGGCTCAGGTCATGATCCCAGGGTCCTGGGATCGAGCCCCGCATCAGGCTCCCTGCTCGGCGGGAAGCCTGCTTCTCCCTCTCCCACTCCCCCTGCCTGTGTTCCCTCTCTCGCTGTGTCTCTCTCTGTCAAATAAATAAATAAAATCTTAAAAAAAAAAAATCATAATTGGTTACCAGAATACAACTGGCAATGAGTTGCACTGTATCACATCACCCTTGCTTTTCAACTGTTCTTTAGTCTGGACCCTTCCAAGATTTACCTCTTGAAAGAGCCACTGAATTACCATAGCAGGACTAAGAGCCAAGTATTCTCCTGAAATAGAGACCAGAAACATAATTTGACTGCAATGAAGATTCCTCGTTGCTGGTGTGGGCGTGGGTAATTGAAGGCAAGAGTAGTCCCATAATTTGTCCCAATCTTTCAGTTAACTTGCGGTCTCACTGGAATCAGAACCAAAGTTTTACACCGTCAGGGGTTTTCTTTGTTGTATTTACACCTTCTTTGCACCCTAACTCCACGGAAACAGAAAAGGAAAACGTGCAGTGCAATTTCTAAATCTCCATCTGGAGAGCTTTAAGAGCAGTAACGGTCCAGGTGAGGTGGCAGTGTGTGACCGGCGTCGCCCAGATTAATTCGGTGTTATAACATCAGGGAGTGGAGAAGACACGACAAGCATGGGTTTCTGGTCTTGCGGTCGAGTGGACTTCAGGAAGGGAGTGAAAGCAAAAGAGAATTGACGAGCTAAGGGAAAGAGGAGGAATGTACAGGGCCATACTATTTGGGTGTGGCGGGTGGGAAAGGGATACCAGGACCTCAGAGGAGCAAAGAGTTGAGCGGAGCTCTGATGCTTCCGGCAGGCAACCGCCCGGCGACCCCCCAGGAAGTGGGAGGTGCGAGCGGACACTACAAGTCCCAGAAGCCCCCGCTTCCCGGGGCCCGCGCGGAGCCGCGCAACGCCCGCCGGGAGTCGGTCGGAGCCGCCAAGATGTCGCAGCCCAAGAGAAGAAAGCTTGAGTCGGGGGGTGGCGGCGAAGGAGGGGAGGGAACTGAAGAGGAAGATGGCGGAGAGCAGGAGGCGGCCCTGCCGCGACCCCGGAGGGCTAGGCGGGAGCGGGACCAGCTATACTATGACTGCTACTCAGACATATCGGTCCACGAGGAGATGATTGCGGACCGTGTCCGGACCGATGCCTACCGCCTGGGCATCCTGCGGAACTGGGCAGGACTACGGGGCAAGACTGTGCTGGACGTGGGCGCGGGCACCGGCATTCTTAGCATCTTCTGTGTGCAGGCCGGGGCCCGGCGCGTGTACGCGGTGGAGGCCAGCGCCATTTGGCAACAGGCCCGGGAGGTGGTGCGGCTCAACGGGCTGGAGGATCGGGTGCACGTCCTGCCGGGGCCGGTGGAGACGGTGGAGTTGCCGGAGCAGGTGGATGCCATCGTGAGCGAGTGGATGGGCTACGGACTCCTGCACGAGTCTATGCTGAGCTCTGTGCTCTACGCGCGGACCAAGTGGCTGAAGGAGGGCGGTCTTCTCCTGCCGGCTTCCGCCGAGCTCTTCGTGGCGCCCATCAGCGACCAGATGCTGGAGTTGCGCCTGGGCTTCTGGAGCCAGGTGAAGCAGCTCTACGGGGTGGACATGAGCTGTCTGGAGAGCTTCGCCACGCGCTGCCTTATGGGCCACTCGGAGATCGTGGTGCAGGGTTTGTCCGGGGAGGACGTACTGGCCCGGCCGCAGTGCTTTGCTCAGCTGGAGCTGGCCCGCACCGGCCTGGAGCAGGAGCTGGAGGCTGGGGTGGGCGGGCGCTTCCGCTTCAGTTGCTACGGCTCAGCGCCCATGCACGGCTTTGCCATCTGGTTCCAGGTGACGTTCCCCGGAGGGGACTCGGAGAAACCCCTGGTGCTGTCCACCTCGCCTTTTCACCCCGTCACGCACTGGAAGCAGGCACTCCTCTACCTGAACGAGCCTGTGCAAGTGGAACAAGATACGGACATTTCCGGAGAGATCACGCTGCTGCCCTCCCGGGATAACCACCGTCTCCTGCGCGTGCTACTGCGCTACAAAGTAGGCGACCAGGAGGAAAAGACCAAAGACTTTGCCATGGAGGACTGAGCGTTGCCTTTTCTCCCAGCTACCTCCCGAGGCGCCCAGACCTGCGTGGTAGAGGCGGCGGGGGGTCGGAGGAGAAAGGGAGATCCCACGTGCAAGTAGGGGGCAATATCTTCTGTCTCCCTTTTCCCTCGTGGCTCCTGGGGAGGGAGAGTGACTTCAGTCTCCCTTCGAGGAGATTCTTCTGGCGAAATTTATTTAAAAAGTGAATCCCGATACCCCCAACGATGGAAACAACTTGTTTATTAATGGGCTTTTTTAAGTCTCAAAAGCATGTGGTACCAAGCACTTGTATTTCTATTTCTTTTGTTTCACGGGAAGAAAGCAAACACACAGGAGAAAATACCAGTTTATGAAGGCTCATGCACTTCCCTGACACCTCACATCTAAATCTGAAGCCAGGGAGAAGGGTAAAGGGGTTTAGTAGATTCCATAAATTTCCAGTATGACTTAAATATCTCTCTCAAGAGCCATATTCTATCATTCTCTAAATTCCCTCCTTTCCTAGGTGCCTCTAGGCTTCAGTACTTCTTCCTCATTGTTTTTTTTTAAATAAACTTTGCTCTGGTAATGAGAGGGAGAAGAGTGAGGAAGGAGTTTGAATAACCCTGTTCTTACACTTATGACTTCCATAGGGTGCTAAAGTTGAACACATTTCTCCACACATCTCCACAAATATATAATTGTGCAGCATACCCCAAAAATCTAGAAGGTACATTTAGGAGAAAAAGATCTGAAAGACAGTGAAGTGGTAGTATGGGTTTTTGGTTTTTTTTTTATTCTTTATTATTAAGATTTAACCAAGAAATTGTTTCATGTATGTTACATAATAGAGTTTTATGTGATTTTTATTAAACCAGCTGATAGAAGGTTTTCTGAACCTAACCCAAGGGTTTGTTCATTATATTGGGTAAATTGTTTAGGCTCTCTAAATTAAATATTTTCCCAGCTAGAGAAGTGCACTCATTTTAACTCTCATTTAAAGAGATCAGGTGATCTGGCCTACTTACATCAAGTGAAATTTCCTTTTTTAGCATTGTTGGGTTTTTTTTTCTTCTTTTTAGCTCAGCCAAATGTTAAAGTTGTGAATTTCGGAAAATCATTTGTAATGAAGTGTGAGTCATGTTATCAAATTTATTTTACGGATGTTTCCCTCCTTAACCCTGTGGCAAATAAAACATTGGCATTCTATTTTTATAGATGAAGTAAGAAGTCTTGTGTACTGTGACTTATAGTGCTTTTGCCTTTTTAATATTGTCAGTTCTTAAGAAAAGTGTTACAACCCCTTCAGGATATAGCTTCAGGGTAATTTATGCTTAATGTATGTTTTTTTCTTCATACTGGTAGCTTTTGTATGCTAATAGAGAGCAGGTGTGAAAAAGTGGTCTTTGAAGTGATCAACATAGTTTTGTTTATTGTAACTGAGTTTTCTCCTTTATTCATCGAATATTAAAGTACCAAAGTATTATAACCAATTTGCTAAAATTTGATGTTAACACATGAGATCTTCCATTACGAAGGGAAACATACAAAATCAATGACTTTACAAGATCCAAGCAATAACAGTGATAGTTGTCACCATTTTGATAGTTAACAGTCTATGTAAATGATGCAGTCATAGCAAGGTAGGCCTGATTTAAGCTAGAGGTATAAAATAGGTCCTTTTTTTTAGGGTCAACTATATATTATAAGATGAACATTTATTTAGAATTTTAGTGTATGGTTTTGGGTAGATTTCTGATGTTATTTAACTTCCTGAAAGAATCCCTTTGCTGTATAAGCAGACAAAAGCGTTCCCCTGAATTCCATTTTTTTTTAAAAAATATATATCTTTTATAAATATGCCTGTATTACAGAGTTCTTGTCACCAGTATAAGCATGCAAAGAGAGCACCAGTTAAAACTTAAACTGTAGAAGCAAAAAGTATTTCATATTTAGGCAAGTAAGCTTTAATATTCTTGTTACTGTTTCCCAAAAGAAAAATGAATTATAAAAATATAGCTGCTAAAGCAATTAGTCAAGTGGCAGCATAGCATACGGCTAAAAGCTAGGACTTGAGCCAGACAGATCCTGCTGGAACCTAGGCTCCCCACTACAACCGTGTGACCTTGGGCAAAATACTTAACCTCTGTTTTTCTCCAGGGCTCTCATGCAAACAGTAGAACAATCATATGTGATACATGTAATGCAGGGAATGTAGTTAATACATGTAGTTAATACATGCGAGCACATAGTACCTGGTACAAAATAAAATCTCAGTGATTCCTAGCTGTTGTAATTACAGAAAACTACTACGCAAACCTGCAGCATTTGGCCACTCCTCTACAGAATAAATATTCAACATTTTGATTTTCTTACAGGTTTGTTTGGCAGTATCAGCGTGGCTGTGTATGACGGACAGTGTATGACTGGACACCAGATGATCCAAGCCCTTTGGAGTGACAACACTTCCAGAAGGATGAGAGCGTGACATGCTCCAATATCCAGGCACTGTGCAGTCTCTGTGTGAGCTGGATTGCCTAGGGTCATTTGGACCACAGGAATAACTGTCAGCCCTAAGGAGGGAAAACATGATGAAGTTCTACCTGCTTTCTTCAGACAGCTTACATTTATTTAGCACTGTGAAACTTTCCAAATATTTATGTTAATTCACTGGACCAATGGACATTTTATTGAGTATACCAGATAACAGTCATTGTGATAAGCACTTAGGTATACAAACCAATAAAACATAGTTTTGCTTCCAAGTAGGTATGTTCATAGGATAAACCAAAAAGGAAAATACGTCAACGATAAAGGGCTACTTGGGATGCTGTAGGTGTTAGGGAGGGCAGATGATTACCTTCACTTTATATACTGGGAAAGAGACACAGATATTGGAGGATTTCCCTAAGGTTATATAACTAATTCTTGACAGTTGAACACAAGTATCTTAATTCCTAAATCCAAACAACTTCTTAGTTTAAAAAAGTTCCATTGGAGATCTATCTTGTAGACCTGAAAGAGCCACCTTCGGTATATAGGATCTCAAGGTTGACATTATTAGGTATTCATAAAATATACCATGTACCCGTTTCCCTAACAGGGCTAAGTGTGGCATTCCTTCTGAGGCCCCCAAGAAACAATGCTCACTGCAGCAGCAAAGGAAAGTCGAGCTCTGACTATAGGTACTGGCATCCAATGAAATAAGTGTTCACTCATTTAATGATTTAATAAACACCAACCATCTAACAATTAAGTTCTATGATAAATAAGCAAATGCTACCCTCAACTTGGATACAGTAGGGGAATAAAATTACCTACATCAGTAGTTTGCACACATTCTTTAACCTGGAAAGACATCATCCAACTAAATCTCACCTCTGCTGGAGCAAAGATGAGAAGCCAGCCCTTTTGTTGGCTCTAACCTTAAAATTCCTCTCAAGTGCAAAAGTGTTACTTGTCATCACATAGATTAAGAGATCCTCAGAGAAAAATGTGATGGTAAGGAGGACGATGATTAATGAGACTATTTCTCAAAATTATTATATATGCTTGTAGGATAAGACATTTGAAACAAAAAATCTGGACCTTACTAAAGCCAAAATTTTAATAAAAAGACATGACGAGTAACATTGGAATTGTGCTTCTTTGGGAGCTTTGATGATAACAATCATCGTTATTTCTAGTAATAACTTGGAATAAAGACTGATGAAGATTTCAGTTGGTCAAGTAGCTACCTTTCTAACTCTTAAAAACAATCACTTATATGGGGTGCCTGGGTGGCTTAGTAGGTTAAGCATCTGCCCTCAGCTCAGGTCATGACCCCGGGGTCCTGGGATCGAGAGTCCCACATTGGGCTCCCTGCTCCTCCCTGCTCCTGGAGGAGTCTGCTTCTCCCTCTGCCTCTGCCCCTCCTCCTGCTTGTGCTATCTTTCTCTCTCAAATATATAAAATCTTTTTTAAAAAAATTAAAAATAAAATAAAAATCACTTATAACAGACATTTTAGAATACAGAGAGCTGTAAGGAAAGAAAACGTTCCTCCTTTCTCCAGGCTGCCCCCTGCACAAAAAGGAAGGTGGGATGGAAGTAAATCCTCCCCATACTTTTTAAAGTGCTTAACAGGCGTTCTTGCAATCATATGATGTACATATTTGTGAAAATCACATCACATTCTGCAAAATTGTGCACTAAAAGTAACTTAGAGAAAATTGGTTGGGTGGACAATCAAAACTTTGTAACCAGGAGTACTAAGAATACCAATAAAAATAACAGCAGTTAAAAAAAGATGTTAATCCTAATAAACACTGCAGTAATAAGACAGCCTGATTGAAGAGCAAAAAGAAGAGTTCCTGAGACAAAGCAAAATGTACAAAAATGGAGTGGAGGTTTAATAAACATTTCAAGACCTAAAGCATGTGGCCAAACCATGCCAAGAGGAAGAACATAGGGTGTGATACACTCCTTTTTGACTAGTTGTGTTCAAGTGTGTCAGTGTACTTTCTGTTCAGTGGCTGTTGCCTGGTAGTATGAATAAACCAACCAATATCCACACTATGTTCTGACATTGTTCTTCTACTTATCAATATCATTTGAGTTTATTCATTTACAGAAACATGCATGGCAGCAGAACATTCTGTCTTTTGTTCAACTTCCAGAAATTAAAGGAATTCAAAGCTCCATTGGGTTTACAGATCTTTTCTTTTTAATGCAAATTTTCTTAAAAGGAGAATGGAGTGGAGATGGGGAGGTTTACAGGTGGCCATAACCATCCTTCAGTATGAATCTATTTATTGTATTATTTTGGTCACCGGAAAAGATCAACAGGAAAAGGGAATAGAAATCCTGACGAGTGTACAGTGAAAGGAAAATAGTTGAGTGTTCAATTATTGATGGTTGGATAATGGGATTGGGGACAGGGGGTGTTTCTCCAGAGTCCGGGGGCAACATAAAAATATCTTGGTGTCAAAGAGACATGAAGTTAGTGAGAGAAAACATAAGTGAAGATTAAGATCCCCATGCATACATTTTGCCCACATAACCATATCCTTAAGGTAAAACTTTTTCTGAAGTAATGGGCTCAGAACATAACTAAGAGTATTTTGATTGGCTACAAACTATTGCTTATTTTGATATTTGTCCTTAACCTCTCACTTCAGCTTAATTTCTAAACCGATTCAAGGACTGTTCTATTTAAGAACTCCTTAATCCTGTCAAATTTGTGAACAAAGCCTCCAACCTCCATTATCTCAAGCTATATGCAGTTTAGTAATGGGTGGTATGGAATGGGATGATATTAGATTTTTAAAAACAAACAAACAAACAAACAAAAAACCAAACAAACCCAAAAACAAAAAACTCTTGAAGTTTTGCTCTTGGTAAAATTATCATATTTAAGAACAAAGTGTAGAATTCTAACTTTAACCAACTGAGCCACCCAGGCGCCCTAGTTGTTAGGGAGATATCATTTTTCCTTTTTTTTTTTTTTGATTCATTATCTGATTTATTTTATACCAGATGATAATGCATGCATAGAGACATACAGTGAAAATAGCATATGCTGAAACTTTATACCAAATAATATTCAAATACACCAGCTACTATTTCTCAGCATGTAGAATGCTTTTATGCAATAATGGTATATTAATCAAACTGTGCAAAGTCCCATTAAAATCAATGATATATTAACTTTGTTTACCTCACATCAGTTATACATAATAAGATAATGTTCTTCCATCCTAAGAAAAGTCCATATCTATTATAAATTTTCATTTAAAGGAAACCCCTCCTTTTGTTAGACATGCCTCTGCATACATAGAGATAGTCCCAATACTTATATAAAGCATCCACATTAATTTTTATATCACTATTGAGTGCCTAATGTTCTATATGCATTTTAAGTACATTATCTTATTTACTCTTTGAAGGAGCTCTATGAAGTAATTCTATTATCAACCCCATCATACAGATGAGAAAACAAAGGCATGGAGTTTGGTAAATTGCCCAAGACCACATGGAGAGTAAGTGACAGAGCTTAGGACTCATCTCCTGAAATCTGAGCATCTAACCTAGTACACTATCCTATCTATGATGCCTGGGCTCTCAGGAGTTAAGGTTTCATCTATAGTCGCTTAAAATAGGTGGGTCATTGTCTTATGCCAGGATCCCCATAAGCAGACCTTGAGACAAGGATACATATAAAAGTGTTTATCAAGAAGAGTTCCCAGAAAATGCCAGAAGGGCAGTTGGGAAGCAAAATTAGGAAGGGAAGGAGATGAGACTAGGGTGTGATAGTAAACCAGATCCTAAGAAAGGGAACTTTGGCTCAGTCCTGCAGAGATGCTCTGGAGACAGCACAAATCACATCTCAGAATGTCCCCAGTTAGAGAACAAGGTAGCTGGAACATTCATACCTTCTCACCCATCAGACATCGGTTAATGCCTGTCCCTGGGGAGATGTAAATTTCTAGGCACTTCCCAGCTCTCCTGGGTGGGCATGGCAGTTTTCACAGTCTAAGGACAGTCCCCCAGCTAAGAATTACCAGTGAAGAAAGTTGAAAGTACGGGGAGAGCAGATATACAAGAAAAAAAGGTTGAGGGCTGCAAAGTGACACATGGGGAATAAATGGAGCACTGGTAGGATATGGCTACTATCATAATTATCCTTTCTGAGATTCCTTTACATTCTAAGTTGTTAAATAGTTATGGACACTTTGCTTATGTCCCTCTTTCACTATTCTTTTTTTTTTTTTTGAACTTTTTTTTTTTTAAGATTTTATTTATTTGTGAGAGAGAGAATGAGAGACAGAGAGCATGAGAGGGAGGAGGGTCAGAGGGAGAAGCAGACTCCGTGCTGAGCAGGGAGCCCGATGTGGGACTCGATCCCGTGACTCCAGGATCACGACCTGAGCCGAAGCCAGTTGCTTAACCAACAGAGCCACCCAGGTGCCCTCACTATTCTTTTAAAAGCTGCATGAATAAAGTATAAATATAATAAATGTGTAGAAGGAAAAAGTTAATTTCCTATTCCCCACAGTTTAGAATGTATCTTTCTATTATGTCTTCTTATATACCCGTTTATGTAGGTTTTTCTTAATAAATATGTAGACATATTATACGTGTTGCTCTGAAAACTATTTTGGGGGGATTAAAATACATATACTAAATGTCCCATGAAGTCAATGTATGTATCTATAACTTATTCTTATTAATAGCAATATGAAAATGTATGGTATGAGTAATCCATAATTTATCCAACCAATTCTCTATCGATAGACAGTGGTTTGCAATTCTTGGCTGCTACAAATTTTACTTACCTTTCTCTTTTTCTATTCTCTTTCTAGGTAAGCTCAGCTCATCCATTCCCATTACTATAAGTAGTATACCATCCATATGCTGATGATTCCCAAATTTATATTGTTATCCCTGACATCTCTCCTGCATTTCAGACTCATATGTACAACTGCTTAATTGTCATCTACACTTGGACATGATAGGCATCTCAAACCTAACATAACCAAACTGGTTTATATAAATAATGTTATGTATATAATTATATACATAATTTTACCATATATGTATGTATATACCGGTTTTGCTTGTTTTTTCAAAACCAGTATATATTTATTACATATATTTTTTAAATAGCCAGAACCTCAACCCTCTACCCAACTCTATCTTGAGTCAAGAGTTAATAAACTTCTTGAAGACTTGACAATAGCACAAATCATTACATCAGATTATGATCGTGGGTCTATATTGATTGC